TGACTTCTGCGGTCAGCTAATCTACTGCAGTGACCTCTGCCGCCAGCCACTCTTCATTAGTGGCATCTAGGGCCAGCTGGTATACAGTGGCGGCCTTTTTTATCGTCAGGTACACTACAGCAGTAGCGTTTGCGGTCAGCTAATCAGCAGCAGTGACCTCTACAGCTAGCAACTCTTTAGTAGTGGAATCTAGAACTAGGTACTCAATAGGAGTGACCTTTACAGCAATCTGCTCTGCAGTTGTGACCTTTAGGGCCAAGTAATCTACTGTAGTGGTCCCTGAGACCACCTCTACTCTACAGAAGAGGCCACTGAGGGCAACTATTACCAACTGCTATACATTAGAGGGATCTTAGCCCAGCTACTCTAAGGAAGGATTCTGCCACTGAAGGCAGCCACTTTTCAGTAAAGGTAAGTGAGAAGACCTTTGCAGCTCTTCTATGACAAGATTCTCTCGTCTTCTAGGCGAAGACCATCTCGCCTTCTGTGAGAAGACATTCTCGTCTTCTATGGAAAGGCCCTCTCGTCTTTTAAAAGAAGACCTTCTCGTCTTTCATGAGAAGACCTTTAGGTCTTCTATAAGAAAACCAAAATAATCCCTATATTGTTCTCAGTAATATTTCCTGAGAATGGAGAAGGGTGGGACTTGCCTGTTCTATTACTTTGCGATAAAAATTTTAAAAATTTTAAAAATTCGGAAGGCTTTCAAAGAGTCTTTGAAATTAAAAAGACCCTTCGGAGCTATTCTATCGATAGGATACCCTACGAAGGCACTGTCCATATGACACCTAAAAATTTTTTTTTAATAAAGTTCCTAATAAAGGTCTTCCAAAGAAGCTTCTTTATTTAGATGGAGAACTTTTACATATGTCTATAGAAAAATCCACGTCTATACAAAAAATCCCGTAAGGAGCTCTTCTATTAATACAAGACCTGAAAAGTGATTTGTATAAATAGGACACCTTAAGAAATTCTCTGTTTACAGGATACCGGAAGATGTTTGAAAAGTGTAGAAAATTGCATGGAGAACATCAAAACAAAATTTTATAATTTAAGGTCTCCTCCTTAAAAAGGTATCCTACACAAATATCCATAAGGTCTTTTACCATTTAAAGAACCTAAAATATTTCAATCTATTACCGACCTAAATCGACAAGGATTTTGACTTTTTATACCAACCTCTACCAAAGTATGGAAATAATAACATAACAGAAATTTGCTTACCAAACTTCCGATTTCAACAAAAGAATCAAGCAAGACTAATAGAAATAGCTCGAACCTCTGAGTAAGGACTACTTTGTTCGTTTACAAGAAAGTTCGAACCTCGGTGAGGACGACTTTGTTCGTATGGAAGAAAGTTCGAACCTCAGAGAGAGGGCGACTTTTTCGCATAGAAAAAAAATATCGAATGTGAGTAAGAAGGACTTTTTTCCGTATAGAAAAAAGTTCGTACCTCAGCAGTGAGGTCGACTTTTTTCTGTATAGAAAAAAGTTCGAACCTCAGCAGTGAGGTCGTCTTTTTCTGTATAGAAAAAAGTTCGAACCTCAGCAGTGAGGTCGACTTTTTCTGTATAGAAAAAAGTTCGAACCTCAGCAGTGAGGTCGACTTTTTCTGTATAGAAAAATGTTCGAACCTCAGCAGTGAGGTCGACTTTTTTCTGTATAGAAAAAATTTCGAACCTCAGCAGTGAGGTCGACTTTTTTCTGTATAGAAAAAGTTCGAACCTCAGCAGTGAGGTCGACTTTTTTCTGTATAGAAAAAAGTTCGAACCTCAGCAGTGAGGTCGAATTTTTTCCGTATAGAAAAAAGTTCGAACCTCAGCAGTGAGGTCGAATTTTTTCCGTATTGAAAAAAGTTCGAACCTCAGCAGTGAGGTCGAACTTTTTCCGTATAGAAAAGGTTCGAACTTCAGCAGTGAGGTCGAATTTTTTCCGTATAGAAAAAAGTTCGAACCTCAGCAGTGAGGTCGAATTTTTTCCGTATAGAAAACTTTTTTTCGCATCGAAGAAACCTCTGTGAGCACTTTTTTCGTAAAGAAGAAAGTTCGAGCCTCTGTGAGCACCTTAATGAGGAGTACTTTTTCCGTATCAAAAAAAATTTGAACCTCAGTGAGGGCGATTTTTTTCGTATAGCCAGAAATTCGAACCTCAATAAGGAGTTTGTTCGCATAGAAAAAAGTTCGAATCTAAATTTCTTTCTTTTTTTTTTTTTTTTTTGCTTAATTTTCTTTAAATCATGTTTTCTTTGAGATTTCTTCATTGAAATTTATCCCTAAAAATTTATTCAATTATTCGTATGAGTGATGTGATAATATAAATGTTTTAAATAACTCATACGTCTATTGTGTTGTGTCACTTCATGTAATTTTGTAAGACAGACTGAATTAAATTCTGAAGAAAAATGTTACCCTCTGTCTTGTGTTTTTTTTACATTCATTCCAAAGACTTTGAGTGGTAAGTGATGAAAAACTGCAACAGCAGACAGAAAGACAGCCAGGTCGGTAGTCAGTCAGGCGATTCTGATATGACAGTTAATTTATAGAATAAAACAGACGGGTGAACAGACAACAAATAGCCAACGAAACACTTGATTTCATTTCCACACTTCATCAGCGAAGGCTCTTGGTTGAGCAGCTGGCTGGTTGCAAGGCACGAATATCCAACATTCTTCTGTTTTAATTGGGTGTGGGGGGAGGGGGTTTGTGCGAGGGAGAATGGAGGGTGGTGAAACAAATCAAGTGGCAAGCTTCTTCAACCACTCCCGACAATTCAGTTTCAGCAGCACCGTCAACTTCTTTGTCAATCTCAAAGAAAAAAGTGATTAAAAAGAAATAAACACAACAATGGTGTCATGAATTGCTTTTCATTGCATTCTCAGCTCTGGCCCCCTTCCGTCCCGTCCTTTATTTTTTGGCAGAGAATGAAAATGCAGCAGAATTCTTTATTTTTATATAAACTCAATTGTGTTCAGCCAACCAGCCAGCAATTTGCAGGCGCTAGGATGAATGGTGTGGGAAATGTGGTCAAAGCTAACAGCAGGACAAAAGACAGTGTTGTCATAACGTCAGCACTGCATGATGCAATTTGTGTGTGCCTGTGTGTGTGGGGAGGTTTCCTCTGCAAAGGATTGAAAGAAGAAGGAAAACACAACAACAACAACACCCTACTAATCACAGAACAATGCAAAATTGGGAGGAGACCCCCACCCCCTTTCCACAAACCCTACTTTGCTCCAAGTTAATTTCTTGCTAGACATTGTGACTCGGCATGTAATTTGTGAAACTTATTTGTTTGACGTTGTTGTTGCTGATTCTGCTTCCGTTGTAATTTTCCTTTATTTTATTACACACATTAGCAAATGGTGTAAAGTCACGCACATTTCTTTCTGGAATATCAGCAGGACGGCTATGCGATACGACTACGACGACCATAATTAGGGTGGTGAGCCAAATTTTAATTTTTCTGTAGGTGGTGAGAAGAAGGTAAGGTTTTGCTTCTTAGGAAAGATTTTTTCGCTGAGGCTCGGAAATTTTTCTACACGGAAAAAGTCCTCCTCGTTGAGGTTCGAAGGTTTTTTCTATACGAGAAAAAAGTACTCCTCACTGAGGTTCGAACTGTTTTCTATGCGGAAAAAAGTCCTCCTCACTGAGGTTCGAATTTTGTCCTATGCGGAAAAAAGTCCTCCTGACTGAGGTTCGAACTTTTTTCTATGCGGAAAAAAAATCGTCCTCACACTGAGGTTCGAACTTTTTTCTATACAACAAAAAATTCGTCCTCCTCACTGAGGTTCGAACTTTTTTCTATACGAAAAAAATTCGTCCTCCTCACTGAGGTTCGAACTTTTTTCTATACGAAAAAAATTCGTCCTCACACTGAGGTTCGAACTTTTTTCTATACGAAAAAAATTCGTCCTCACACGGAGGTTCGAACTTTTTTCTATACGAAAAAAATTCGTCCTCCTCACTGAGGTTCGAACTTTTTTCTATACGAAAAAAATTCGTCCTCCTCACTGAGGTTCGAACTTTTTTCTATACGAAAAAAATTCGTCCTCCTCACTGAGGTTCGAACTTTTTTCTATACGAAAAAAATTCGTCCTCCTCATTGAGGTTCGAACTTTTTTCTATACGAAAAAAATTTGTCCTCCTCACTGAGGTTCGAACTTTTGTCTATGCGGAAAAAAGTCCTCCTCACTGAGGTTCGAACTTTTTTCTATGCGGAAAAAAGTCCTCCTCACTGAGGTTCGAACTTTTTTCTATACGAAAAAGATTCATCCCCACACTGAGGTTCGAACTTTTTTCTATGCGAAAAAAATTCGTCCTCACACTGAGGTTCGAACTTTTTTCTATGCGAAAAAAAATTCGTTCTCACACTGAGGTTCGAACTTTTTTCTATACGAAAAAGATTCGTCCCCACTCTGAGGTTGGAACTTTTTTCTATGCGGAAAAAAGTCCTCCTCACTGAGGTTCGAACTTTTTTCTACGCGGAAAAAAGTCCTCCTCACTGAAGTTCGAACTTTTTACTATACGAAAAAAGTCGTCCTCACACTGAGGTCCGAATTTTTTTCTATACGAAAAAAAATCGTCCTCTTCGAACTTTTTTTCGATACGGTCCATAGTCCATCCTCACTGAAGTTCGAACTTTTTTCTACACGGAAAAAATCTATCCACACAGAGGTTCGAACTTTTTTTTACGGAAAAAAGTCTTTCCTCACAGAGGTTCGAACTTTTTTCTATGCGAAAAAGGAAAAAAGTCCTCCTCGCTGAGGTGAAAAATTTTTCCATACGAAAAATTTCGTCCTCGGAGGGATTGGAATTCCTCATTCTCAGCGGAAATGAGACAATATTTTTTTTATGGAAAAAATCAAAATTTTGAAAGTTCTCTGAAAAAATAAAATTAAAAATACAATTCCCAATAATCCAATATATGTTTTAGAATTTTTCGGGAAAATCAATGTAGCATAGTTGTAACGTGGAAAGAGGTGTATATCCTCAAAAACTTACCTTTGGGGACATACCCCCCTCAAAATTATTTTTCCCGAAAATAGACCTTCCCGGATGATTACATATGGGTCTTACCTAAAATAGAGGAAATAGATTAAGAATTGGGGAAAATGTTAATGGAAGTTGGCACAATTTTGAAAGCAGAATCCGGCATAAAATTTGTTAGAAAAATAATATATTGCTGGGCTACATAAAATGAATAAATATTTGAAAGAAGGAAATAAAAATTTAAGAAAAAACGATTACAAATTAAATTTAAAATGTTATTTCTAATTTTCCTCCGAAAAGAAAGCCAAAAACAAAGACCAGACTCCAAAATTAAAACTGAAATCGCAATTCAAGCAATTCGCACATCACCTGAGAAGAAATTTGTTTCTTTTTTTTATTGAAAACAAATCAAAGTGAAATCCCAGCGTCAATTCGCTGGGAGTGAGAATGAAATGCAAACAAACGAAGCACCTGCCACTTGAAATCTTGTTGGCATGTCAGTCTCTCGGTTTGTCGGACTGTCTGTTATGTCTGTCACTTCAAGTGGAGGAAGAAGATGCTCCGTAAAAGACACGATGTAATGCCACATTTCTTTTAACTTTTGATTAAATAAAATATTTATATAGACGGAACAGGAGTCAGCAGAAAATACATATATAAAGAAGTGAGAGAATTAAACATAAATACACAAATACAAGGAAACACCCACATATGCAAAGGGTATAAGGAAGTGGAGCAACAACGACATTCATACAAACATTTGCTATACAGGATGAGATAACAAAAAACTGCAACAAAGTCAAACGCCATAATTTTTACACTTTTTTAAATGTTATTGAATGAAAGCAAAAAATATCGGAAATAGCATCAAATTTTAGAATAAATTAAGATTTATTCGAATTGGTCACCTATGGCACGAATTATGGCCTTAAAACAGCCAATGAAACTGTCACATGCAGCCCGAATTTTGCTCTGCGGTATTTTGGTCCATTCCCGCGAAGCGCTTTCTTGAGGTGATCGACACTTTGGTATTTTTAAGTGCCAACCTTGCTTTCCAAAATACTCCAGACACAATAGTCCAACGGATTGGTATCCGGAGATTTTGGTGGTCATTGTGCGCTGGAAATGAAGCGAGCAACCTCATTTTGTAACCATTCATGGGTGGCGCTTGCTGAGTCCTGTTGGAATGTCCAAGGTCTGCGGCCAAAATGTTTGCGTGCCCAAGGCTTTAATACACCCTCCAGAATATTTTCACGACAATACTCGGCATTTATTCTGATGCCACAGTCGATTAATATGAGAGGAAAGCGACAATCGGCTGATATGGCGGCCCACACCATCACCATGGCCGGCGCTTGAGTTCTGGTAGCCAACCGAAGGTGCACATTTTCAGCCAACCTATTTGGCAAGTCAACACAATCATTTTGTTCGTTTACAAACTTCTGGACAACGAATGTTTTCTCATCAGAGCGAAGAAAACCAAATTCGGCAGGTTCACCACTTTCGGCCAAGCGAAGCAACTCTTTAGCTCTTTTGCGTTTATTTTCTTTCCGTTGCGGTGTAAGTTCTTGCACTTTTGTGGAATTTTGAATGGCTTTACCCCGAGCTCATTTGACAATATTTGCCGAATGGAATATTGCGATATGTTCAGCTCACGAGACATTTTTTGGCCACTGCGACGCGGCTTTCGATCGAAGTCGCTTCTTTACTTTTCGAATCATTTCTGCTGATGTTGCTGTTTACTTCCGTCCACTTCCTTGACATCGGGCTACGCTACCAGTATCATACGTTAACGAGCGATGGTACGAGACACAAAATCCATTTATTTACATTTAAATGCTGAAGTGCTCTAACGATAGCCTCTTGTGGTTTTCCAGCCAAATATTGAGAAATCGCACTATCACGCTTGAATTCCATTACGAATAACTTTTTTTCTGGAAAATTCTCACCAAAAAGGCTTTTGTACGCTTTTAAACAATATATTGAGCTGTCAGTGGAATAATTTGAACAGCTGTCGGACGAGTGACTTAGAAGTGACAGCAGTCTGAAGTTGGTTGCAGTTTTTTCATCTCACCCTGTATATCATTTGATACGACCAAAACGTACCTCATCGAAATAATGGTTTTAGACACTGGGTCTCTTTGGACCAAATGTCCGTTTCAGGATATTTGGAGTCGATCTAGCGATGTCCGACCGTCCATCTGTATAGCTGGTGCGCACGGTAACTCTTGAAGTTATTTTTCGATTTTATCCAAACTTAGTACATCGTAACATATTTATCAAACTTAGATCGAGTTTGAAGATGGGCAATATCGGTCCACTCCTTCTGGTACCTCCCCCACAAAAGGTCGAAATTTTCGAAAAAAAAAAAATATTTTACTGCCCAGAAAGAGAAAGGATAATCCGATTTTGTTTCAACTTTGCGAATCCTAATATTTGCATCATTGCTACTTCAGGTGCGAAAATCGATAATATCGGTCCAGTCCACCAAGTACCTCTCCCACAAAGGGTCAAAATTTTGAATAATAACAAATCTTATAAATTGTGATGTAGAAGTCCGATTGTCTTCAAATTTCATACATCCCAATATTTATATTAACCCAAGGTCTGGTGTTAAGATGGAGTATATCGGTTCACTACTTCTGGTACCTCCCCCACAAAAGGGTCAAAATTTAAATAATTTTCACTCTCATAAATGATGTAATAATCCAATTGTCTTCAAATTTCAAATATCCCAATATTTATATTGACCCAAGGTCTGGTGTGAAGATGGGATATATCAGTCCACTCCTTCTAGTACCTCGTTCACAAAGGGGCAAAATTTTGAATAATTACAACTCTTATAAAATGTGATGTAAGTGTCCGATTGTCTTCAAATGACACACATCACAATAGTTTTATTAACCCAAGATCTGTTGTGATGATGGAATATATCGGACCACTCCTTCTGGCATCTCTCCCACAAAGGGTCAAAATTTTGAATATTCATGAAGGTCATAAATCACGAAATTAGCATTCGATTCCATTCAGACTTGGCACATCTTAATATTACCATAAACTCAAGATCTGTTATAAAAATGGTACAGATCGGACAATTCCTTCTGGTACCTCCCCCCAAAAAGGGTCAATTTTTTGAATAACTAAAAGGGTCATAATACCCAAAATAAGCATCTGGTTCTCTTCAAATTACACACATCGCAATATTTTTATTAACCCAAAGTCTGTTGTGAAGATGGGGTATATCAGTCGACTCCTTCTGGTACCTCCTTCACAAAGGGTCAACATTTTGAATATCCATGAAGCTCCTAAATCACGAAATTAACATCCGATTCCATTCAGACTTGGAACATCTCAATATTTCCATCAACACAACATCTGTTATAAAGATGGTACAGATTGGACCATTCCTGCTGGAAACTTCCACCAAAAAGGGTCAAAGTTTCGAATAACCAAAACGATCACAAGATTCGAAATAAGCATCCGGCTCTCTTCAAATTACACACATCACAATATTATTATAAAGATGGAATATATCGGTCCACTCCATCTGGTATCTCCCCCACAAAGGGTCAAAATTTTGAATAACCATGAAGCTCATAAAACCCGAAATTAACAACCGATTCCATTCAGACTTGGAACATCTCAATATTTCCATTAACACAAGATCTCTTATAAAAACGTTACAGATCGGAGCATTTCTTCTGGTACCTCCCCCACATATGGTTGAAGATTTTGGAGCGAAACGAAACGCGAGATAAGCCTCCACCAACTCTTTTCAAATTCCACATATCCAAATAATTTTTTTGTAAAAATGATATATATCTGCCAACCCCTTCTGGTACCTCATAACTTCCATATCTAAATATTTGTCTTAACCAGAAATCTAATATGAATATATAACTTATCGGAATTTATAATTTCGCATAAAATTGGATATAACGTGTCCGATTTCCTTCAAATTTTGCACATACTAATATTTTTATCTGTAATAGATGAACTATGAAAATGGAATACTTCGGTCCGCTATATCTGTTAACTGTCGCATATTTCCACATTTTCCAAAAATGTGCACCATATCTCATATAAAGTATAGGAAGTAGTCGGGCACGTTGTAATATTTATATCGGAACCTCCCCCTATAAAGGGTCAACAGTTTGAATAATCATAACTCAAGGCTGGGGGTATAAATCTGTCAGCAAAACCGACTGATACTGATTTTTCTTGTTTGTCTCTACATTTGACGGACTAAACGAAATCATCACCACCATCAGACGTTGGTTGATTCAATTACTTCAATTTTTTTTTTTTTTTAAATCATATAGTACCCCCATGAGAACCCCCAGGCGGCAGATCTTCCTCACCCATGACAGGCATGAGAAAAGAAAAACAAAAAAAAAATAATAAAACTACCAAAGTGTCGTTCTGTGATTCCAATCTGTGTTCTGCTGTTGCTATTGTCGTTGGACACAAATGTCCACTTTTGTTCGTGTTGAAAAAATATAATTTTTTTATTTAATTTAATTGCATTAAATTGCACAACAAATGGAGATGAAAATTTCTCCATTCTTTTCGTCTGTGTTTCTTTTTGTCTTTTGTTATTTCATTCATATCGCCGCCTTCGTAATGATAGAGTAGTTCTCTCTGACCGTAATAAGGATAAATGAATGAAAGAATAGCACCATAGACGGGTGGAGGGGTGGAGTAGACTAAGAACTTAATAATGGCCAGAGCTTATGTGGAATCGAATCGAATAACAAGTGGGAGCGAATTTGAAGAAAATAAGCAATTTAAAGTTATTGGAGCGAAAATAATTAGTTTTTAACATAAAAAGTTCCGCCACATGGTAGGGATGCGGAGGGCCAAAAAACATTGTTTTACTTTATTTGGCAAATGAATGAAGAATAAATACTTTTCTGAATGAAAGGGAAAATTACATTTGGAAAATTTATATAAAACTTCTTTTGTACTATTTCCAAGGCACAGTGGGGGTAAAAATGTGAAAATTAAAAAAAAATAAAAAAAATTAAAAAAAAAAATAAAAAAAATTTAATAAAATAAAAAAAAATTAAAAAAATAAAATAAAAACA